GGTATACAAAGCAGCCTTGGATCTGGATGACAAGTCCATGGCCAAGATGACCCACATCCTCACAGCTGGACCGATGGGTAGCATCATGACAAATGGAAGAGACTGGGGTTGTCAGGGACTTTCGTCTGGCTTGACGCCACCAACAGTGCTCACGGAAGCAGCCGGCGAGAGACCGAGCAACACATTGCCCTGGGTAAGCCTGCTGCACAAGCCCTCCTGGAAGTGTTGAAAAGCAAGGATGCTACTGTGAGGACCAAGGTGCCCCCAGCCCAAGTCACGGTGTTCTCAATGGCCTCATAGGCCTGTGGAAGTTGGACCCTGAATAAGGAGAACCCATGAAGCATGGATATATTTGAACTGTGGTGCTGGCGAAGCATGTCCAAAGTACCACGGACTGCTAAAAGGACAGACCAATTTGGGTTGGGAGACTACAGCCAGATGCTCCTGAGAGGCGAGGGTGGGGAGACTTCATCTCTTGTCCTCCGGACTTGCTATCTGGAGAGACCTGTGGGACACAGAAACCTTATTCCCCTGGTTTTCCTCCCCACCCCATCTTATGTGCCAAACCTAATGTGCTGCTTGTTCACACATGGTCAATTGACTGTACACTTGGAGGTCAACTGCTTCAAGGTTATCTGCCTAAGGGTTATCAGCCATCTAGAGCAATCAGACCTAACCTAGGTGGGGCCCACCTCCTTCTGATAAGGATAGTGGATTGTTCCCCTGAAGGAGAGCCCAAAGACAAGGGCAAGCCAACTCAGGTGGGACCAAGGTTAGGCTGCCATCTTGAATCTAGAGTCTGCCCATCTTGTCACATGTGTACCCCTAGTGCCTCTCCTTCCTATTGCGTGCACACCCCTAGCTCGTCCCCTTCCTGTTGCATGTACACCTATTGGACAGCCCCTTCCTGTTACACATGTGGTTACCTATAATTAGGGGGGCTTGAATGCTCCCTAAGTGTATATAAGCCTTGGTTAGAAATATATTCTCTCTCTCTGCATGGATCTGGCTGTTGAGATCATGGCCGTCCGGGAGGTGATCAATTGCATGCTTTATCTTGTCTGATGTCTCTTTAATTTCACCCCTTAATTACAAAACCGCTCCTTGGATCCATTCGATTGTGGAGGCTGGTACCCCACAGCTATCAGTGCCAGAAGGAGGTAGCATCTTATATTTTTTTCTTCTTTGTTTAACCATTTTATTAGGACACAATCCAGACATCATATAATTCAATAGTTCAATCAGATCAAGAAGTGTTGTATAATCACTACCACAATCAGTTTTAAAACATTTCCTTCCTTCTTGTACTTTTGTGATTAGCTCCCCTACCTCCAACCTGCTGCTGAATTCCCCAAGAACCCTTATGTGTTAGTCCAGGTAGACTAGAGAAATAAATTCATAGACACTCATATATGTGTAAGAAAGGGCTTTATAGACAAGAGCAGTTGAATATTGAGAAAACATCCCAGCCCAGTCCAGATCAAGTCCATAAGTCCGATATTAGTCCATATGTCCGATACCAATCTATAAAGTCCTCTTCAGACTTACGAAACACATTCAATGACTCTGAATGTAGAAGATCTCAGGCCAGTCGGTGGGAAGTCTTGTGGATCCAGTGGTGGTGTAAGCATCTCAGTGCTGGTGGGGGTCTCCACGTGGCTCCTCCAGCTCCATGTGTAACTCCATATGTCTTGTCAGCTGCAATGTCTCTCAAGGAGTGAACCTGAGTCCCACCCAATGAGCTATCCATCTCCTTAATGCCTCCAAATGAGGCCATCAAGCTGCCACCTGATTGCCTGGCTACACTCCACCCCTTCCCTCTTAATCCTCTTGAATTGACAACAGATTATGTAACTACCGTACCTTAATCTAGTCATTGCCTCTATAGAGTCATCCATCCTGGGTTTCATACGCTGGAAAACATAGAAAAACACATAACAGAGAGTGGAGAAGACTACCAACAGTAACAAAATACAACAGAAAGAAAACAGAAAATATTGAAAACCAGAGCAAATTCAAATGCGTCAAAAGGGAGATCAAATTATAAAGTTTTAATTATTCAAGTCATAGTTTTCTTTTCTTTTAAAAAAATCATTTTATTGGGGCTCATACAACTCTTATCACAATCCATACATACATTCATTGTGTCAAGTGCATTTGTACATTTGTTGCCATCATCATTCTCAAAATGTTTGCTTTATTCAAGTTATATTTTTCATTTTAATCTACTATAATTGTCTCTACAATACTCTGTCTGATAACCGGGCTAGTCCCAGCTCTCAATTATGATCACAGGGAAATCACTGAAGGCTTATTCTAGGTATAGATCCTGCAAATGTATTTGGGGCTTCCGCACACCAGAATCTCACAATTTAAGCTTTGATGGTGTGATAGTTAGGTTTATTGTGCCAGCCTGGCCAATAGGAACATGGGGGAATAATCAAGTTGAAGTTTGATTGGAGGCCAAAGAGATAAATGGCTCTGCAAGGCCCGCCCCCATCTCTCTTGCTCTCTGGGGATCAGATCAGCACGCTGCTAGTTTAGCTAGTTCTCTGCCTCAACCTGTGAGCTACACTACCTGTGGGCCAAGCCAACCCATGGATCATGTTGCTAGAGCTCGAGGCTCCTTCAAGACCTGCTCTGTCAATCTGCTGGTGTGTACACTGTGTGAGCTTGAGGCGGGTGGATTCTGTGGCCTTGCACTGCTTGTGGTTCGATATCCTATCTGGGCCTGTTTCATTAAGCTCCTGTGCTACTTGACTGTTGCTGACCCATCTGCTGTTTGCTTCCTACGGGCAGACTCTGCCTGCCTTGCTGGAGGTTGGACTCAGCTGTCTACTTCCTTGACCTTGGATCCGGCAGCCCATGTGAGTTGAAGGACTTCTGGTATATTAACTGTTCCATGAAAGTGAGTTGAACTGAGCCCTCTGCACTGCTGTGTGGAGTAATTAGCTGTTATATTCCTTCTTGATGTATAAACCTCTGTGTGTGTGTGTGTGTGTGTGTGTGTATGTGTGTGTGTGTGTGTGTTCTGGTTTTGTTTCTCCAGAGAAGCCTCCCTAGCACAGTGGCCATTACCCTTTTGGATTTAGATTATATTATTTGCAATCCTTGCGTCACAGAGGGTGGTGTACTTCGTTCATGGGGCTTAGTTGTTGCCTCATTTAGAGTGCTGCTTGTTGGTGGGGGGGAAAGCCTGTAAGACCCCAGTCGTTATTCTTTCAGGTAGCTGGGCATCATCTAGTTTCTTCATCACACCTTGCTATAGCACCCATATCTTCTGTTTGAGCAGGGCCATTTCATAAGAACTAAATTCTTAAATTGGAAATAGGATTAAGTGCAAGCCCCCAATCCACTCCTAAATGTCTCATATATGCCTCTGGTTCACCTTGGAGGCGTCTCTGTTATTTTATGTTAGAGAACATTGTGAGTCATCTCTCTGGAGCATGAAGTCCTACTGTGTGTACTGTCAGTGATCTAGCCTATCTCGTAGTTGTTTTGATTTGCATCTCTTGATTACTAGCATGTCTCTGTATGTTTCTTGACTGCCTGGATGTCATCTTTGAACAATTGTCTATTTTTTAGTTGGATTATTCATCTTTTTCCTATTAAGGTGTAAGCCAGGGTAATTTCAATAGCCCCTTATGCACGAGAAAGCTGGACAAGAAATAAGGATGAACCTAAGATGAATTCATGCTTTTGAATTTTGGCACAGGCAAAGAATTGACTGCACCCTGAACTACCAAAATAAATAAATAAATAAATCTGCCTGGGGCGTTCATGCAGGATGCTCCGCAGACGCAGGGATGACAAGACTGCATCGTATGTACTTTGGGTGCGTGATCAGACCCTGGAGAAGGACACCATGCTTGGCAAAGGAGAGAGCAAAGAAACAGTGGAAGGCCCTGGGCGGTGGATTGACACAGGAGCTGCAACAATGGGCTCACACATAACAATACTTGTTAGCATGGTGTGGATGGGGACACGTGTTGTTCTGGTCTGTGGTCTATCGGGTCACTATGAGTCAGAACCGCTTTCTCACCATAGAACTGCGCTAGGGTTCCCAAGACGGCACAGCTCCCTCCTGGGCCACTGTCACAATTAAAAGCATGCTTGTAAGGTGTTTAAATTGCACTGAATAGCATGAAACAAAATGTGTATAAACTGTTCGATGTAAAAATAATTCGCTCTGTGAACTTCACGCCGACCACAATTTTACCATGCGGTGGTTGGAAATCGGCCTTCGTATTTTTTTATCTATGCGAATAAACGTCAATTAAGGACTATGACTAAAGAATGAGGCGTGCTTGGAGGCCAGGCCCGCCCACCTTCCCTCTGGAAAACCCACTCTCCCTAAAGTCCGGGGCAGGTCTGTCAATCAGCAGCTAAGTCCCGCCTTTTCACACTACTTGCCGCCCAAACAACCTATCACATTGCAAGCTCGACCTCCTCCAGCTTTTACTTTTATTTATTTTGCGAGAAGCCCTGCGTTTATGGATGCGACTCGAGTCGGGTTAAAGCCGCATCCTTACTACGTAACTGACAGACGGCAACCGCCTCGCGCTCCCCGGGCGGCGGCGTCTCGCCGGTCCGGTTGGTTCTGACTCGTGGCGCCCCCTTGTGGCACAGTCGGACTGCAGCCCTCCATCTCTTGAGCATCAAAAGCCCCGCTCAGCCTCCCGGCTTGTCTCAGCCTATCAGGGTCGAGGAAGGGACCAGTTCAAGCTGGTTCGTCCAGAAACATTAATCAGGCTAGCCTGGCTTTAACTAATCACGTTGCAGCTAGCGTTTCCAGTGCAGCCTATCACATTCGAGATCCCGCCCTCTAGGCTACCTTCCAGCCAATCACATTCTACGTTCTACCCCTGAGCACAGTCCCAACCTATCAACTTCTTAGTCCTCTCCAGACGCGTCCGGCTAACCCCTGCGTTGACCCCGACGTTCCGTGAACTACATTTCCCAGAGGGCCTTGCGGCGGGACGAACGTCATTTTTCTGTTAGCAAGATGGCTGCTTCCTAGGCCGAGTAGGAGACCGGCTTAGGCTTCGGTGAGCAGAAAGTGGGTGGTGAGAGCGTGTGGGACCCATCCCTAGAGGTCCAGCTGCCCTGGGTCTGACCTCACATACCCCACTCCCCCTGCTCGGAGGCCACAGCTCGCAGCTCTGCGGTGGCTCCCGGAGTCTAGCCTCCACCCTTGCTGCAGCTGCAGCTCTTTTGAGAGCTGGTGGGCGCGGGGGTAGGCGTTTGGAGGCTCTGAGGGCACGCTTCCGCCTGCCACCTGTCTGCCCCCCAAAGGGACGCGCAGCTCCTAGATCTTGCCTCTTCTCGGCACGTCCCCGCGCCTTTGGAGGAGAATCCTGGACATTAGCTATTCTTTTTTTTTTTTGTAATGTTTTATTAGGAGTTTAGCCATTTTTCTCGCTACGACGTTTTCCGTTTCTGGTCAACGGGAACCCCAGCGCATATCTGGACTGAGCAAGCAAGAAATGCTCCTGACTTAAACTCCTGGAACTGGCAAGCTTCAGGCGTAGCTGGATCCGGGTACTCAAACCTATCGGGCAGTTTCTGTGTGGGCAGGCCAGCCCTGTACACCCAAGGAGAGCCCTCGACTCTAATGGCAGCACTGGAAGTCCCAGGCCACCCCTTTCTGACCTCTGCTGGGTCATGCACATCCCTCTGAGCGAATCACAGTGGCCAGGGAGCTAGAATGTTCTCCAAGGAAGTGGGGGTGGGACCAGGATTACTGGAAAACAAACCGAAAAGCCGAACGCACTCCCACCAAGCTGATTCCGGTGGGACAGGGTGGAACCGCCCTGTGGGTTTCTAGGAGGGTAAAAAGCCCTTTCTCCTGGGGATGGCCTGGTGGTTTCAAACTGCTGACTGGACCCATCCCAGTGTGACCACTACGCCGCCAGGGTTCCAGAGAGGTGTAAAAGCTTCCCATTTTACAGTTGAGGAGGCTGAGGCTCTGAGAAGGGGTGATTCTCACAGCCAGCCGGAAACTCGTGGTCCCGTTCTCTCTCCTAGATCCTCTGCCTGGCTATAAAGGGAGTATACTGACGTCCCTCGCCCCTGCTGTACGCAGTCACACGGGAACCATGGAAGGTCCGGAGCCCAGCAGCCCCACTGAGGAGGAGGAGGAGGAAGAGGAAGAGCAGTCAGCCGAGCCTCGGCCCCGTACCCGCTCCAACCCGGAGGGTGCCGAGGACAGGGCCCTGGGAGCCCAGGCCAACGTGGGCAGTCGCAGTGAGGGCGAGGGTGAAGCTGCCAGTGTGGATGATGGGACCCCCAACCCACCAGGTGCCGGCCCCAAGCCCTGGCAGGTGCCTCCGCCAGCCCCTGAGGTCCAGGTGCGGACGCCGAGGGTCAACTGTCCAGAGAAAGTGGTAAGTGGGAGGCTAGACCTTTGGCTCCAAGGGGTGGGTGTGTCTTGGGTTATACATTCCTGCCTTTCATAATGCCCTCTGCTACCATCCCCTCATTTCCTAGTTTCTGTGTCAAAGGATCGGTCATCAACCTGGACCCCCACCCCCACCCACGATTGAGTGCTCTTTTCTCTGAGCCTCTGACTTCAAAAATGATCAGCTAGGTTGGGGGTGGACCATCACTATGATGGCCAAGGGGCCCCTGACCCAAGAGCCGTGGCCTTTTTAACTCACTCTCCATGCACCTGCATGCTGGCAGTGCAAAAGGAGACCCCAAACACTCCGAACTCAACGGCCATCGAGCCCGTGCCGGCTCGTGGCGACCCTAGAGGGCAGGGTAGAACTTCCCAGGTGGGTTTCTGAGACTGTCACTCCACAGGAATAGAAAGCCTCATCTTTCTCTCTAGGAGCAGATGCTGGTTTCAAACTGCTGACCGTAGGGTTAGCAGCCCAACTTGCAATCACCGTGCCACCAGCGTTCGTGGAGTAGGTGAAGAGTAGGGGATGGATTCAGGAGATTGCCGGAGGAACAAACACGTCAGTCTTAGAAGAGATGTAGCGGGAATGTGCCTAGAAGCAAGGGTGGGGAGCCTTCCACTTACTCACTCTGACCAGTCACAAGACCAAGCCCCCAGGGTCCGTCCAGGAGAGAGACATCGCAGTGAGGAAACCCCACACCACTGACGGAATTAGACCCAGGGGTTGTGAAGAGGGGTCGGGACCGGCAGCATTTTGTTCCCTTAGTCTTAAGGTCACTGTACAGTGGAACGTACTCCATGGCAACCAGCCAGGGCTCTGCCTTGTCAGAGGGACTGCTCAGGGAGGGTAGCTCTGCCCCTGGGGCTGTGTGGGGTCGGTGTCCACAGCTGGCACTGCCAGGCCCAGGGCCCGCCCTCACCGCCCTCTCTTCCTCTTTGCAGATCATCTGCCTCGACCTGTCCGAGGAAATGTCCCTGCCAAAGCTGGGGTCCTTCAATGGGTGAGACGGACACCTTGGGGCGGGGCCCTGGTCTCGGCTGGGGAGGGGTGCTTTCAGGGGAGCGTCCAGTACTGGCGCTCCCCGGAGCAGCTGGAGGCTGGCAAGTAGGGAATCTCCATCCAGGTTAGGGCCCACCCGCTGTGGACCCGAGCCGGGATGATAGGTAGCTCCGGAATCTACTGAGAGCGCGGGTCTCCCCGGGACCGGGAACCCACCCAAACCCACTCAGAAGAAGGGGCTTGTGGAAAAGGTAGCGCTCCTCCCCCTCTGTCCAGAGAAACACACGCAGTGGCACTCACCCACATAGAAGGAGGAGCTTGATATCGAGAAGTTGTTGTATAGGAGGAAGGGCACGGGCCAGCAGTCCCTCTTCCAACTCACAGCCACAGGCGATGATGCAGACGCAGGAAGATCACAGGCCCGTGGGTGCAGAGTCCTGGGGGTCCACGGTCGGGGAGGCTCTCAGGGTCTGTGGCGGCAGAGCCCCAGCCAGCAGGAGGGCGAGGGAGCAGAGAGTGGGAGCTTCCTTCCCCTCCTTATGAGACGTCCGCAGCCCCAAGGAGGCTCCATCGGGCTGTGACCTGGCTGACAGGTGGGCTTCCAGCGCTGCACTTTGATCCAGTTGTTCCAGTTGACATAACGCCATCTACCTTCTGCACCCTCTGTGCCCTGCCCACCCCATCTCAGTGTCCTTGGACTGCGGTCACAGAAATGGAGCCCAGATGTCCGATTCAGGGGCCACCTCGAGGGGAAGCCATGCGCTCGCTCGCTCGCTCTCTATCTGCCCCTCCTCCCTCCTTCCCCGACTCTCTCCTCTGGCTCTGGGAGCAGGTTCTTCTCCGAGTGTCTGTCCTGTGCTTCCGGCATGTCCATTAACGAAAAGGCTGGTGGCTTGAGACCCACCCAGCAGTGCCTCAG